TATATAAAAGTGCTATAAAATATAGCAGGATGACGATTAAAGTGGTTTTTAACAATATGTCATATAGAGGTGTAAAAGAAATGTCCCAGAACTCCCTTTTTCATCCTACTACAATTAAGTAATATATATTTGGAAGCCAGTTTTAAAATTGTATTTAGATTGGTCAGGTATAGATTTTTTATAATAGTTTTAAACAATTTTGATTGGTCAATGGTTTGTCATGTGACTTTATAAGACATGCTCTAAAGGCATGCCTCAAGCCAAGGCATGTCCATTGAGACATGCCAATTTTTTTACCTGTGCCCCCAACCCTACTGGTGGGGCTTCATTTTAAGAAACCCAAATTTGGTAATTAAATAAAGTATATTAGTGTTATGCTAGATAATATAAGGTAATAATTGAACCTAGATGGCATACAAAAAATGCGTAGCAGATTCTCGATTTTGATTGGCTAAGAGCAACAATCAAAAAATTAGGCCAATTGTTTTTGGGGTAGACAAAAACGCGAAAAATATAAAAAATGGCCATCTAAACTGGTCTTGGTTTACTAAATAAAAGTGTCAGAAATGCGATTTTACTATATAAAAGCTACTCTTCCTATCATCATTCGATTTTAGTTAAAAATCGGATACATGTTATTTTGGGTCACTTCATAGACATCACATTTCACCGACAATTATCCATCGACAGGTTCATTTTACCGAGCTTCGGTGAAATAAACTGTCGGTGAAATGAACTTGTCGGTAAGTAATTGTCAGTGAATTGATCGGATACCGTTATTTTGGCATATATCGATATTAATTAATCTAGTAAATACAGTATTGTTTATAAATTGTATTTTCTTTTCACACCTCCATTTGAACTATTTATATTGAAGAAATTTTGTTAAAATGACAGCATGTACATTAATGTCGTATTTTCATAAAAGTACTTAACATTTGAGAAACCTGGTTTAAATTATATCTGATCGGTCGATAGTCGGTCAAACGTGACCATAAACCAATCAAATCGAACAGTACGTGAATGCTATAATCGGATACGGTACATACCAAAGGAAGAATCAAAAAATCAAGCACTATTATCTCTAATATTAGCAATGATATATTGAGGCATTGAAAATTTTTTTTTCACTTGTATGCATAAATTCAAACTTTTATGCAATCTAGCTTTTTCAAATTAAAAATATATCGATATATGGCCCAAAAGCAGTCAATTTGCATAATTTGAATATTAATATCGATAATATTTGTCATTTTATAAGTTTAATAACGATATTGTTATTTTATAAGTCTAATAACGATATTTGATTGCATTTATTGTCTAATATATACAGTAATTTAAATAAAAATATTTAAGTATTACAAAAAGACTGTTTTACAGCATTATGTTTGTTATCAACGAAAGGATATGTGATGATCCGTTATAAAGCTTTAAAAAATATATACACTGTATGCTTTTTAGGTTATTGATACAATAGGTTTTTACAACTGTATTTAGTATTTATGAAAATATTATTGGCTACTTAAAAAGTAGGTAATGCAGGGCCATCGTTTGAAAAGACACCTTAAGTAGAGAATAAAGTTTGAAAAAATGAGCCAATAATATAACAGAAATTAATATACATTTAATCAAACTTTAATCAAACGCGTCATGCATTAAATGTGATTAAATGTGGTAATACCGAGCTATTTTAACATCAATTGTACAGTATATACGTACGTACAAATAAACTTCTAATGATCGATCCTCTTAATGAACTCGGCTTTTAAAAAACAAAATGCACTAATTAATTCCAACTTTATAATAAAGTACTAATTATTGTGTGACTGTTTGTGAAATACTACGTTGTACGAATGACCTTACAAATAGAAATCACGTAAACACAGCCTTTTTCGAACACAGAAAATCACTTCCTAGTTCAGCTATCTATAGATAGGTGCTTTTTTTTTTTGTACCTCATTTATATCAGAATAGTGCTGTACTAAAGGATTACTGCTAAGGTAATGCCACATATTGTATATACTATACTGTATACAATTTTATATAAATATGGTCATTTTCATTTAAAAAAACAAAATTCTTTAATCCTTCTGTTATCGTACGTTTGTTCACTTTGATAGTTCAAACACTTTACTAAATCGTTGATTTAACTTCAACATTTCAAATTTGAAAATAATATATAAATATAAAAATATGGGTAAGATATCAGGATCTTTTTTATTATCAGCGCAGTGCATTTTTTTTTTTTTTTTTTTTTTTTTTTGGCGGGAATATATGTCAGTCTACCCTTCTTTGGTTTTTATCTCAGTCACGAGAGTAGAAGTTCGATAATCGGATTTCGGATTATTTTGGAAATCCCTTAACAGTTAATATTTATTTATATTAATTTATATGACGTATATTTTTTTTCTCCTGTTTATCATTTTTCTTTTTTATGGAAACTATTATGCGTATGAATTTTTATTTTTAATAACTGACCTCATATTTTTTTTTCTATCATTCAACATTACACTTAAACAATAATTCTGATGAATACAGATCCCATCAAAGTTACAACGTTGAAACACCAGGTTCATACTCTACGACACGACCTAGCTGAAAAAAACGCATTGCTTGCAACCGTGCAAAAGAAATTAAATCGTCATAGACATCAAACTGCAAACGGAGGAATGACTAATGAATCAACGACAGGAAAAGTTATCGGAAATTTACATCATGAAATTGAATATTTAAAAAAGGAAGTAGCTGATGCAAAAACTCAAATACATGTAGCAAAAGTTGCTAGGGATCGAGCTGATCGTCAAGTACAAGAACATTCCGCATCACATCAAACATTAAGACTTGAAATCGATTCTTTAAAACGAATGTTGGAACGAAAAGAGAGACAAGTAAAAGAATTGGAAGAACTTTCAAAAGAGCATGAAAGAAAAAGGATGGATCTGAAATCTGAACGTGATAATACAAATATAAAATTACAAGAATCCGAGTTAAAAGCTTCTAACTTGGAACATCAACTGGCTTTGGCGCTTTTAAGTAAAGAACAAGCTGAATTACAATATCAATTATTAACAAAGGAGATGAAAAATTTTAAACAACGTTATGTTGAAGATGTTGAATTAATTAAAAAAGAATTTCAGGAATTAAGAGAAGAAATGAATTCGACTGCAAAAGAATTAGAAGATGTTGTTGTAGAAGCTGGTGCAAAAATCGAGGAAATAACGTCACAGAGACAGGTTGAAGTTGAGGAATTACAATCAATTCAAGCCAAACTAAGAGAAAATCAAGAAAAATCTTTCTCAAGAATTCAAAGTGAAGTTGAAATGGTTAAGAAAGACGTTGAAATATCGAATCAAAAAACGAAAGCACATACTGATCAAATTACATATATTCAAAAAGAATTAAGTGGAAAAATGAGTTGGTTACGAAGTATTTAGATTGCTATGTTATATATATTAAGTAATCAAAGCACTCTATAATACGAACGATTTTATGTTTATTAAAAAAAAAAAAACAAAACCAAAAATATGTCTTTTTCATCCTTTTTAAATTTCTTTTTTTTTTTATATATATATATATATATTGATAACCGGTATATTTGCTATGAATTTTTTTTTTTTTTTTTTGATGATATTATTGAACTATGAACTATTTGAACGTTATGTTCAAAAATAATTTGTATATACTCTTTTCGAAATATTATGTGATTGGATCTTTTTACCTAAAGTAACTGCAGTATAAACGGACGGACAATTTGGTGTTAATTTTAAAAATGAGTAAATTATTTGTATATGCATTTTTTAATGATATAATGCCGTTTACTGTAATTCATCCGATTTTAATAAACGATTTTTCCATCTATTTTTTTTTTTTTTTTTTTTTTGTACCTCTAATTGTAACTATGATTTAACTCGTTTGTACTTTTATTTTTTCAGCATGTAAGCTATATATATTATACAATTTTTTTGCATGTATACATTAATACATATTACTTTTTTATTATGGTTATGAAATCGATATATTGATTTATGCTGTATAATCTGATATACATCACCCTAATTAATTTTAACTAGTACAAATAAACAATATCTGCAACTAATTAATCCTCTACGCGATGCAAAAAATGCATGATTCATGAATAATTTATCATAAATAATTCATGATGGAATAACATTAAAAAAGTGAAATACTTCCTCTTCATCCACTACTGCAACTTTAGTTCTACAAATTTCACATTCTACGGGATAATAAATTTCCTCTTTTATCGTATCATCGCTTTTGACATCTAGTTCAATATCTGAATTAGCAGGTCTTTGCTTTTTTTTATCTGATAATCCTTTATTTTTACTTTTACTATATTTTTTAGTATTTTCTTTATCAGCATAAATTAATCGTTCTGACCGATTAATTTTACAATTTTCTACAAAAATTGCCCGGTATTGTGATGAATAAAGTTCATGTCTATATAAATATATATAAATATATATAAATATATATATATATATATATTATATATTTATTTATATATTTATATTATTTATTAGTATCATACGGTATTATGTTAATCACAGTTATTAATAATGTAAAAAAATTTTTTACTCACCTTTGGGTATGATAACTTAAAACAGTAAAACACATGGGACATGATAATATCGCATCTGTTTGACTTGTTTGGTTTGCTGTTTGATTTGTTATTTCTTTTGTTGTTTGATTTGTTGTCGTTTGGTTTGTCGTCTCGGTATTATACTCTTAAATATATATTTATCATTGATCTATTCATCTATATACTACTAGTATTTTCTTAACATATAATATTTAAAATGCTTACGAGCCAATTTTTTTTTCATCCAAATTTCATCATCATTATCGATTTCAGGATCATAAAATAATTCATCTTTTGTTAATTTTTTTCGTGACTTTTTTATTGAATATATTTCTATTATAATATTATATCAGTGTTCTACGGTTAAATTTAAAAAATCTTTTCCGAATGCTTCAATGAAAAGCTATTAAAACCTGTCGGATTGTTTTGTTCGTTATCAACTTCACTGGTTTCATTATCAAGATCTGAATCGAAGTACACGTCTTCATAATATTGTTCATCGTCACTTTCGTTGATTTCGAGTTCTTCTGGAGTGAAAGACATTATTATGATCAAATTGAACTATACACTTAACTGTTAAGTTTAAAAAATAAAGTTTAAAAATTATACGTACCGTAATTTCATATAATGTTTGTGGCACATATAGGTCGATCAGAATCATTTAATAAGATATAAAAATGTGATATAATACTTTGGATAATAAATTAATCGCGAGAATTATATTATTTTTATATTTCGTATAAAAATAAGTTCTATATAATTTTAAGTATTCGAATATATAGTAAATATATAATAATGTTTTCAGTAGTAATTCGTTTGTTCCGTGCAAAGACAAAAAAAATTAAAGTTTAAAAAAGTATTAACAAAAAAAAAAAAACAATTATTAAAATATATAAGTTTAAAAAGTATACGTATTGTTTTAAACTTGACGGTTAAACCCTTATCATTCATTGTCAAATTATATCTGTATATTGTCTAGCCTAGATAACCCTAGATAACCCTTCGTTGATAAATTTAATTAGCCAATGATCATGCTTAGATCGACGACGCAAAATTAACCAACAAATTTAAGCCACGCATTGTAAGTTTGATCAACAAACATATTTATAGCAAGAGTTCAAATTTGCCGCTTAAAAAAACGCGACAAAAAAAAAAAAAATGTCGGATCCTAAAACTGAACATGAAGAAGGTATGTATTAAAGTTTACTTGTGAAATGGAACGCTTTAATATTTTGTACTGTTACTTTAAGTCTCATTTTTTTATAATTTTTTCTATGTATCATTTCTATCAATCCCTTGTAATTGGTTTAATTAAATACTTTTTATAACCTTGTGATAGAACAACCACCTGTCAAAGAAAAAGAGGAAAAAGAGGAACCAATCAAAGTTAATAACTCAAACCTTGTGGAATTAAAAAACGCCTGTGATGATTACATTCAGAAGGTTGATATTCTTTGGAATTTTTATATTTATTTTATTTCCGCCTCAAAATATTAATTAATAATAATATTTTATAGTACTTTAGTACAAAAGCTGAATTTATCCAAAATCATAAGCATACCGATTTTAAATTAATATTTGGATATTTATCTTGCGCGTTTGCTCTTTACGGTGGTTATTATGGACACGTAACACCATTTAACGAATCAAAAGAAATTACGCTTATTTGTGTTGTCTCGTATCCTATAAATATATATATGTTTACTTATTCCTTAATCTATTTTTAAATTATTTTCATTATTATAAAAGTCTTTAACTACTAATTTATGTACTTAACAGATACTTTGTTTTAAACTTTATATTAGTAATCTACACATTCCTATTTGAAAAAGATATCATATTCTTGGGTGAAAAAAATACTCCAGATATGAAAGAACGTCTTACGATCCATACAAATACTAAAAAGTATTCGGATATTTATAATATCACTTTTGAATTTCATGGAAATAATTCATCTGGAAAAACTATAGTTACAAACCACAAAATATCAAAATCTTTTGGTAATTGGTTTGATGTAAATGGATTAATGAGTATAGAATTATTTGAGAAAGAGCTGACTAATGGATTGGAACTTGTAAGGAGTGGAAAATCACATCTTCAGTAAAATGTTTGATAAATTTTTCTTTAAGAACATCTGACTTATTGGTCGGATTTGTTTTATATATATTTCTTATTTTCTTAATGTATTAATTTTCTATAAAACTTGATTTTTTAATATATATATTTTAGAAAAATTTACAAATTATAGATTCTAAGTTTTATTAGCAATCGAAATTGATGATATTGATTACAATTTTATATTTTTTATCTATTTTTTATATATTTGAGAATTATTCAACCGAACCTCGGTTATTTAATCACGAGCCCGCTGATAATTTCCAGATGATACCAAAGTCATAGCTTCTTGATCTGATCTATCTGGAGGAGAAATATAAATGCTCAAGACCAATATTGTCTATAGTCATATTAAATGCATAAGAAATACAAATGTTATCACGTTATGCAATCCAACTTTGCCATATTAAACCACCAAACAACCCATTTACAAATCGCAAACTTTCACAATTATCGTTTAGGTTTCTTTTCTTTACTCCCATACCATTACCTAAATTATTTCCTATCTAAACATTCTACTGTGCAGTCACAAAATCCCAACAAACTTTTGATTTTTTTCAATTTTTTTTCGCGTAACAACAATTGTTCGTTCATAAATTCATACTCTCTTTTTGTAATCTTGTACTTTTCCCATTCTGATTCATATTCCAATATCAATCTTCGATTCTCATCTTTCGGCAATTCTTCTGTAACAAGTACATTCCTGTCATTCTTATCAATGATTGTCTTATCAATGGTTGCCTTATCAATGATTGTCTTATTAATGATTGTCTTGTTAATGGTTGTTTCTTTCTTATCAATTGTTGTTTCTGTTCTATCAATGGTTGTTTCTGTCTTATCAATGGTTTCATTTTTATCAATGATCGTTTCATTTTTATCAATGATTATTTCGTTCTTATAAATGGTTATTTCACTATCGATGTTTACTTTACTATCAATGATGGATTCTTCATTAGCAATGATTGTTGCTTCATCATCGTCACCACCAACAGTAGTACTATCATCGTCATTAATAGTTGATATATCTTTTTCAACATTATTAACATTGTTAACATTATTAACATTATTAACATTATTAACATCGTTAACATTATTAACATTATTAACATTATTAACATTGTTAACATTATTAACATTACTAACATTATTAAAAATAGATCTGTGCTCTTCGTCCGAACTACTATCTTCATCATCTGAATAAATAAACTTCCTTTTCATAATTTGATTTGGATCATTTTTGATTCTGTAAGTAGATGATATATCTTTAAAAGGTGTATTATTAGATGATGAAATTTTAGTATCTAATATGTATTGTTTAACCATTGTTATAAGACTTTGATCAAGTTCATCATCAGAATGAGTTGATAGCTTTTGTTTTTTACGAGACATATTTTCTTTTGTAAAAGAATGTTCAAAAGAGTTTCGTGAATTCAACTTTGAATTTCGAATTTCAGACATTATGCTTATTACCCTACAAAATTTCACGATCACGTGATAACTGACTTTTTAAAGTTCGTTTGTTAGGGTTATTGATTATACGCACTATTGTTAGAAGTTAATAGACTAAATAGTAAAAATTATCCAACGAAAAACTTGTTACGTAGAACACGAAAGTTTGGTTTCTTATGCAAATTTTCAAGAACAAGCAATTTTTCAAATGAAATTTTGCTTTTTGCTTTGGATTTCCTGATCGTGTTACGTTACATAAACTCATGTTTCATTATTGGCCAACTTCTGTTGATCAACACATGATCGTGGAAATTTTACTAATGTGCTTCGGATCTATGACTCTCCGTATTCGTATAGATCCAATAACACAGTACTCTATACCAATCATTTTGTTTATGTAAAAATCGATATGCATTATTAAAGCTCTGAGTTGAATCTGTGGTCAGTTGATAAAATTATTCAGTTAATAAAATTAATGTTTTTCTTAGAGAGACGTTTCCGGGTTGAGTCCGGATCTACTTTACACAGTTTCGGATCCAAAAAAACTTAGATCCTGTTCGGCTTTCGGATGGATCCGGATCTTTAACCAATCCGATCCGCATGGAACACTATTTTCATTATATGCCAATAATTTAAAAATATTTCGTTTAATCATTCAATTTATTAGTTAATCCTGAAGGCTTCTTGATTGGTCAACACACGAAATTGAAATTATTTGTTATAAACAATAATATTAATTTTATTTTATATATTGATATGCTATAACTAAAAATATGAATTTATATAATACACGATAATTCAATATTAGGGATAGATTAAAGTGGTTTAATACAATTAATTTAGACAGGGAAAAATTATAATATACACCCATCGCTATGTAAAATCATAATAAATGAAGTTTTATCATCAAACGAGAGTCATGATCTTTCATAATACACAATAAGCTATTTTAAAATGTAGACCATGAGTGAATAAAGTAGAACCTAGTTATTTTACTTAAAAAAAAAAGAATAAACGTATAAGCTTTTTATTACATCCATAAACAGTACGAAAGTCCCAAATTTAACTTATTAATTTCAAGATAGCAAAACATTAAATTACTTACCAAAAGTCTTCATATCTAAGTAAAGCTTCGGATGCCTATAATCTATTTTAACTTAATATTATGATAAAGTTATTATTACTCTCAAGAGTTTTCTCAAACTAGTTAATCACACTTTTTGTGAGTTAATTAGAAACTTTAACGCTTATATTTATTATACGTTACTGTTTTTTTAGCTTAACAAATGTCTCTAAGTGAAGTATATCTAGTGAGAGAAATGCCAAAGATACCCAAGTAATTAAAGTTCCATTTGTGAGGAGCCTTCTGTAATAATATTACATTTCTAAAAAAAAAAAATATGTTGGGACATAAAAGTATTTTAAACTGTATAATTCAATTGTATAAAGTTACCCAATCACGAGCAAATTATCCTATAGGTTTGATAGAAGGTTAAATTTTGATCGCTCATTAAACAGCGTCGTCTTCTTGGGCGATTATGTTTAGCAAATTTACAATTCCTCTTAGCAAGAAATTCACTAACTGAAGCACGATGGTTATTAAGAGTGCAATAACCGGGTGTCGTATCGCATACAACTGGAACTGAACTTGAAGGATTAATAATAAACGATTCATTACTCGATTTGCTGAAGAAAGAATTAATTTGTGAAAGAGTATTATAAAAAAATAGAGCGTTATTACGAGAAAGATTGAGTTTGGATAAATGTAAAGCGTAAGTATCAATTGTGTAAGCAGGCTTTTGCGTTGAGGTTGTGCCTGAGGTATTATTATTATTTTGACATGTTCTTTGTTGAGGCATTTCTCGAAAGTCATAAATACTGTTGATTTAAAAGAAAAAGGTCGCTGTTTACGCGAGGTAATATTCCACTTACGGAATCAATTGGATTTATCGTCCAATAAAATTCTATGAAATTTACATATGTAATGAGCTAATATTGGCTGTATCAGGTATAGATCTTCATCTTACTTCTAAATCTATATCTTATTATATCTTTGACGTTAATCTAATATTATCTCGATATCGATAACACGATGGGCACGAAAAATAACATAAATAAACCACCTCCACGTAATTTACAAAAAGAAGGAAGAATTAAAAAACGAAATGTATCATCGATCTTACGCAAAAATGGGATTGTAAAACCTAATCAATTAGTAATACATGGTAAAGGTATATCTAAAAAAAAACAGAAAAGGACAGAAAGACAGCTTCGATACGTAAGTTTATGCAAGTACAGTTTGTAATCCTATTGATAATTTGTATAATTTTGATTATAAATATTTATTTTTATTAAAGGAAATATGTAGACGTGTTGAAAAAGGTGAAATGGTGCCAGAAAAATTAATCAATGAAGGTGAATGTTTCATAATTCTTACAGTAATACTTCTTTGTACCGTTTATTTCAATTTTCCAATATTAACAAACTTTTTATAAAAGATATGCCATCCTACATTAATAGTTCTAATATTAATAGTCAACAAACCGTAGAAATGGACATTGTATCATTAGGATCTGGTACTATATTAGGTGCACCTTCTCTTGAACCTGATCAAATCATTCCGGACAACTTTTAAAATTCATACAGTATATAGGTAATTTTATTTCTTCTGGTAAACATGTTAATATACAAGCTTATAAAAATTTATATTGTAAATACTGAAATATATATCTGATATACATTATATAACAATAAATTTTTAAATTTATATAAACTTAAAATTTAGGCTTTGAGAACATATGTAAATTTTTAAAAAAAAATTTAAATAAAATTTTATTTTGATATATATAATATATTGTTCTTTATTTCACCGGTATATGTTTTTGATTATTATTATCATTTATTATAAAACGAACCTATGGTGGTTTTGTACCTATTATATATTTTTCTAAGTTTTTATAAATTTTGTATACCAGTATAAAAAATTTTTCATGTTGGGGTTAGTATTTAGTGTAGAATTAAGATAATGCAACATAGATTAAAACATCATAAGTAAAAGTGATTATAAGATTTTTTTTTTATAGAATTCTTAAAATTTTAATGTTAAATTAGACCTTATGTTAGTAGGGTTGTTAATGGAGCACTCCAGTCAATAGTAAAACATATAACCCACTCCAGAGTACTCCAGAAGTGGGTTATATGTTTTATTAATGTCTGGAGTACTCCATTAACAACCATATATGTTAGGATTAGGATTTCGCCTCTGGTGAGTATTAAATCATCCTAAATTTAAATTTTGAGCAAAAATTTTTTTTTAGCTTTTTACTATATATATATACTAAATAAATTTTTATTTTTTAAATTTAAAAAAATTATTTTACTTTATTATTATTACTGTATTATATTTTTTTATATAAAACATGTTATTTAGTACTATATACAGTACTATAGAAATAAAATCAATACCTTACTATATACAACCTTTAATATTGTATAAAGTATCAATTTTTTTCTGTGCTAGAATGAGCTATATTTTTTTATTATTAAATTAAATATTGCAGCGACTTATTCGTTAAAAAAAAAAAATTATAGATTAATTAATTTTCTCATGTTAATTTTCTAACCAACCATAATCCAAAGAATCCAATACCTCCAATAATCAGGATAATTTTCACGCCTCGTTCTGTACCAATTAGCCACCATAAACAACCAACTATTATGCTGGATGCCTCACCAATTGCAAATTTAAGAACTCTAGTCTCATCTTTCTTAAATGGTGAATTAGATGTACCCGCCTTAACGACTAATCGTTCATGTTGTGGTGTTATGGCGAATAAGGCAGAAACAGGTTTGTGGTCCGATAACGTGTAAGAAGGATGTGACGTATAGTTAATTAGTGATATGGGTGATGATTGCTCAACACTGCCAGCTCCGTTAAGATCACTTCTTTGTGTATCATCACTTTTTCTCCAATAATAAAAAATCCTATCACACCAACCAGGTGTTCGTCGCCTGACATCAAATTCATTTTCACTCCCAACATAATATTTGTAAGTTGGCAAGAAATCCAATTCTCCTTCTTCAAATCCATGTAATACTCTACCATCAATTACTTCTCTTGCTAATTGATCACAAGCTCTAATTCGTTGATATTGACGAGTTCGCAAAATATCAAGCAGACCTGAGATAGTTAGAGTAGTGTTATTTAAACCTTCTTGTTCTTTTAACTCAATTCTATAATTCAAGTCCCCGAAAAAGAAAAGAAAATCTGAATCATATATAGTAAAGTATTGCTGTTGCCTATTATGATACGACGGTAATAATGGTGTTAAATCTTCTCCTTCCATATTCGTCATCATTATTTCACAATCTTCTCGTTGTTCTTGTGTGGAATCTCTATCGGTATTCTCTGAATACATGTTATTAACAAATACCAATCGTTCACAAATACTTTTAAAATCTCGATTACGCTGATATGTATTATGGTTATGCGGTGATAAATGTGCGCAAACAAAACACAATGCTAATCCTCTTATATTATTTACTCTATTTTCATTCACATAATCCTGCTCTTCGTTAAACGCGTTCGCGTTAATAACAATTCTAACCCCCACTCCTCCTTTGTTTCCAATCCAAAATGGTCCAACTCCACATTTTGCTATTTCAACATTTAAAATCCTCCTTGTGACGCTTTTGTCCCTAACATAAACGAACAATGCTAAGCCGACAAAAGTACTTTTTACTAATGCTGTATAACTTTCTTTTGTATTTACAAAAATTGCTCTTTCTATCAAGCCAGTACAATGTTCAAGGCGCTCTTCTTCATTACTAACATATTTACTCCAACTACCAAGGAAAAACGATTTGTTACCGACTTGTGTTATACTACTAGAAAGTGAGGTGTTGCTTAAATATGAACTATTAGTGAAAAATGCATTAGGAAAGGGATTAAATTCTTGAAATCCTACTACAATTATATCTGGTTTATCTGTTATCGATGAATTTGTTGGAAATAACCAGGATGTAAGATCTTGATCTATGTCTTGTTTATTCACATTATAAGTCCCAACTAAAATTTTTAGAGACATGGTTAATGTAGATTGTGTATTCCTATTCCTATTCTCTTGGCGTATGTTTATTATATATTTCTGTATATATTTACGTATTACGCAATAATAATCACGTGCATATAATTTCATTATCTAAATTACTAAATTAAACTCCCCATTTAAGGTTTTCCGATAGTGCTATTATGTATCGGAAAATTTCTTAAAATGATTAAAAAGTTTTTAAAAATGACTTTACTAAAATGCACTATCATATTGTTATTAAAGATGAAACCTTGCTTAAACTTAATAAAAACTTTTTAAATAGTTGAAAAAAAGTTATTTAAATTTAAACCTATATAAGAACTTCGACATATACAGCTTATTTGCGGCCTAAACCTACTATCATATTGTTATTATTTTAAATACATAGAGGTAAATTGCTTTTTGCGGCGGCATGTATCAATTTTAACACTTTATAATTTATATAACAAATACAGTAATAGTTTATTGTTTTGCTTTAGTTTGTTAAAAATTTAAATATTAAAATTTGAAATATTATATTTATAACACCATGTTACAGTATATATAACACCCTATTATTTAGATTATGCTGCTGCAACTAAAGTTTAGGGTTAGAGTTAGAGTTAGGTTTAGGGTTGGTTTAGTGTAAAATTACATTTTTTCTTAGTTATACAACAGGGGGTTACCCTGGCAAAATTTTGAAATATTTAAAATTTTTGAAAAATTCTATATAATCTTTTTTTTTTTTTCTTTGATAACTGCATACTAAAAGGTTTATTAAATTTTTATGCTTTATCACAAATACATGCTTAGGCAATTCAATAAGGTAATTAGACAAAGGCCAGCTGTTCTCTAAAGATGCCCAACCTTGGTTATCGCACTGATATTGGCCACTATACCCCACATATGGTGCGTCACACTTAAAAATATAGTATAGCCTGGGCTTAGCTCCCACCTCAGAACCTCTTTTTCTTTCTAATTCTTCCTTCTTCTCAAGGGGCATGAGACAAAAGAGGGAAAAGTTTAAACTAAGAGACTACGAAAACGATTACAAAAAAAAAACAAAGAAAAGAAAAAAGAAACATATATTCCAAAAAAAAAAACATAAAAAGAAATCTAAGACTCTAAAGACACTATTATAACTTATGCATAGTTGGTAAAAATTATATAACAAATACAACATTTGTATATTTCTATTGTAAAGCTTCACCTTAATGTTGAAATTTACTTTTCGACCCTTCTACCGACTTTGGATGGCTCCGTTGCCTATTCCAATTCGTATCTTGAGCCAGGTACTGCTGCCGTCCAAGGACCTATATCTCAAGCCACCTGCTACCGTAATTAGAGTTTTCAGGCCAAGTTCCATAAAGTAGCGCTATATCTATCTGTAAACAAACACTCTACTAGACCATCCGAATTTGGGAAATAAACAATACTAATTTTTTGCAGGAGGTAAGCCAAATTTCCACTTTTTGTCAAAGAAAGACAAAAAAGCAAAAAAAAAATAGTAGAAACCACTTGGTCAGAATAAAGGAGTATAGCTTAAAGAAAGCCTATTCTTTACTGTTCCCCAGTTGTTTTGCAACCAATTGCTTCATTGACAAAAGACTTGGACTTCTATCACCTCCATCTATTCACTAAAATTTTGTATATAAGGGCACCATCTTCTGCTAGTTATCTTGTATACAGATGCTTTTGGCTTGCATGTCGAATATATAAAGGAGTTCCCGAGATAGCAAAAGGTTAACCTTTATAAAAACCACCTTGTTGATTCACCTCACTACAGGTTACTACTCTCCAGTATCAAAAATAGGCTTTTTTTTTCATTAGAAAGTTTGGTCCAAGTGATTGTTAGAAAGAGATATGAAAATTCTATATAAAGTGTTATATAACATGGTGTTATAGATATAATTATTCTTAAAATTTTATTATTTTATCTATATTATATATAGTAAAAGTATTGTATACTGTTTTTGAAGTATATTATTATCTAAAATAAATTTATAAGTTTTTAAAAAATAGATATTTTTACTTTTAATTTTCTGATTAATATTATAATATAGTAAACTTTAATAGCACTACTTGATAACATGTATCAAGTAATAAGAAATATTGTGATGTAAATTTCAGATATTCTATTAAGAATACCAAGAATTAAGTTGCAACACATGCCAAAGAGATGGGTTTTATATAAAGGGCATTTGGACGAAGATTGTTTTTATATTTATTTTGTAATTATATATTTTATTTAATAAAGAACTTGTATTGAACTTGAGAACTTAAAAACTTAAGAACTTCAAAACTTGTTATTACAAAGAGGTGAAAATAATACTTTTAAATACATATTTTTAGAAAAAGAAAAAGAAATCTAATAAATTCTCTAAAAATAAGTGAGTTGTCTGGGTTGTATAGGTTGTATAAACCTTACAGTGGGTGTGTGGGTTATATAGGTTGCATAGGCCTTGTAAATATATATGCATAAATTATAGACTGTAGTACTGCCTATATAGGGAAAGTTAACTAATTGTAATATACAAATAAAAGGGTAATTGTCATATGCTAAAAAAATAGTCATATGCTATAAACTAATTACAGTCACACTCTCCTAAGTGAGAACCCCGGACATCTCTCATATAGGTCATAACTGATCTGCATAAATTTAAAAGGTTTTTGCTACCTTTAAAATCAAGTGAATTCGCTGAAAATTCAATATAACATATAAATTTTATAGTAAAAAAACATAAATTTAGATGTATTTTTGAGTGCTGAAAAAGTTTACTTAGAACATAAAGTTATAATCAATTAGTAAAATTTTGA